AAGTTTAGCTGACTCAGACATCATTTTCATAAATCGGTGGTCTTCCTTGGACATTTCCAACTGATCATCCCTTTCTGCTTCAGGAAAATCCTGCTTGAATTGTTGTTGCCACAAGTCTTCTAATCTGGCTACTGATATGCGATTTACAGATACTTGAACATTCCTTCCTTTTCTCGTGACGTCATTACTGTTCCTGAGGGGTCCATTAACTGTCCAGCCCAACTTGGTTCTTACCGCAAAAGGTCCATTGTCTTTACTACTAATAACCTGCCAAGGCTCCATGACTTCAGGCACATTAGATCCTATTAGCAATCCGATTTCTGCTTCGATGCTAGGTAGACAAACCTCTTTAAGATATGGCCATCTTTCCAAATCCTTTTGCTGTGGAATGTTCCCCTTGTGAACTGGAATTGTTTTCTGTGTGAAAACATCTGGAAGTTGAATGAATATATCACCATCTAGCCTACTAATCTCCAACCCAGACACTATGTGAGTTCTGACTTGTTTTTCATCCCCCATTGTTCTCAGAAGTATATCAGTCTTCCTTCCATTCACATTCAGTTCAGACATCAAAGCTTCAGTACAGAAAGTATCTGAACTACCTGGATCGAGAAAGGCGTACGTTTTGACCAGATGTGTACCTTTCGTTGTCTTGACCTGTACAGGAACAATTGACAAAGTACAGTCATTCTCACAAAAATCTATGACTTCACTGTTGTCCTTTTCTGCACAAATTAATGCACTTGTAACAGACTGTCTATCACAGTTATCCATTCTATCTTCCTGAGGACGTGCAATTTCCTTTGGTTTCATATGCAGTATGGTTGGATGAGGCAAAGAACATTCACTGCAGCTAAGTCTTTCTTTGCATTGTTTACTCATGTGACCATGCTTGAAACAACCAAAACACAAGCCCTTGCTTCGCAAAAAGTCAATTTTCTCCTGATGTGTCTTGCTTCTCAAACTTCTACAAGATTCCAGGTTGTGTTGCAGTCCTTTACAAAGAAGACATGATTTTTTCTGGCTACTTGGATGTTTATTTTGTGATCTTTGAAATGAAAGTCTCTCGTCATCTTCAACCTTTCTGTCAATTGGTACGGCAATAGTCGTGAAGACCCTTTTTGTTACAGCCTTTTTGTAAGCACTTGCTTCTGCATGTAACTTATCTTGTCCTTTTGTTGTTGAACTATCCTTTATGTCTCCAAACACTGGATGAAGAGAAATCTTTGCTTGCTTGCTAATAAAATCAACTAAATCTTTGAACTTCACTCTAACATTTAGCTTCTCTTGCTTTTCACATGCCACAGATCGCCATTTTTCTCTTAACTTGTATTGAAGTTTCACCACAATGGCTCTCAGATTTGCTGCGTTATCCATCTCTTCCATGTAAGTTATATCTGACATTGCATTGCAGCATCCTGACAGAAACAATGAAAAGGAGTGAAGTGCTTCTCCATCTTCATGTTTGATAGAGGGCCAATGTAGAGCTTTGTTCATATATGCTACTGCAATCTGATACTCATTTCCAAAATGCTCTCTCAGAAGCTGCTTTGCCTTAAGATAGCCTTCAGCTGGGTTCATATGTAGACATCTACGAATCAATTCCTTCGGCTTTCCAGTTGTGTACTGTTCCATGAAGTACAAACGATCCTTATCATATTCAGTACGATCCTCAACACCATGTTCGAAGGCCCGAATGAACAGCTTATAATCAAGAGGATCTCCTTTGAAAATGGGTATATCAATTGAAGGAAGCATGGACATTTTTTGATGCTTCACTAAGCACTCAGTGATATTGGCTTGCCGCTCCATGGCATTACATAATGTATCAACTACGTCTCCCTCTCTACTTGAAGAAAGCTCTCTTGGGATGGTGTTATTAGTTGACTGTGGCCATAGAGGTTGAAACACATTATTAAGCAGACTTTCTTGTTTCAGTTCATCTTCATGATCTGTTATTCTACCTGACTCCAGATCTGTTTCGTTGTGACATACAGATGAAGATCGACTGCTTTCATATTGCTTAATAACTTTCATTTTTGCATCTGATGCTGCGAGGGCCACTTCTAACTCAAATTCCTCCTTTTTAGCCTTTAGTTCAGCTTCTTGTCGTTCAATAGCTTGTTTCTTCTTCAATGCAGCATGTTTAACAAGTAGTGCAGCTCTTTCTACTTCAGCAGATATACGTGCAGAAGAAGTTGTAGAAGTTGTAGATCTAACATCTGATCCATGTTTCTTATGCATCTTCCTTGAAGTCACTGACACAGAGGAAATGCTATCCTCAGGATTAACTTCTAGATCACACTGTATTGATTGCTCAGCATTTTCTGCAACCTGTTTCATCCACTTGTTGACTGCATTAATAAATCTTTCACATGAGGAGGCTCTTGGTTCAAACCATGTATGCTGGTCCTTTGCATAATCTTCATCAGACATACATTCCTCAATTGCATGATTCAACTGACAGAAATCTTTATGCAAATCTTTGTATTCAGTTTCTAATTTAGTTCGAACAGTGTCAAAATGTGCAGGATCATCCATTAATTGTTCAATTTCCTTAGATTTACTTGTGAGCTGAGCTAGTTTAGTTTTCCTTGATTGCACAAGTCTTTGCAACTTTTCTTCCTTTGCTTTCTCAGTCATTTTTAATGTTCTTTTAGTACGAGTACAATCCTCAGTTTTCTTCATAATATCATCATTTAAGCTCCAACATCAAATGAAGTCATTGTACTTATATTGTGTATTGAACTGTTCAGTCACGTTTCAATTTTTACCTCAGAAATCTTCCTGGATTAAATAGCGCCGTTAGATCGCATGTAGATAATCGCGCACCTGTGAGGTAATCCTTGCATCCTTTTCCAACGAAACTCCACCTGGCATATACTTCAAGATCCATTGTTCCTTAAAAACATCCATTGTGTCAAACACGTCCTTATCCATCTGGAGTTAGTTTTCTTTACTAATGTGAATGCGCATCGCAAGAATTCCAGTTAACTCGCTCCGTGTCCAATAAAAAACAATTCACATGCACCGTTTTCTTCATGTAAATTCTTCCTTTAATCCAAACTCGTTAGTAAATCAAACAAAGAAAAGAAAAGAAACAAAACATTATCTTAAATCCTAAATATCACGGATGCGGTAAAGAAAACTGTGCGACTCCAGTCTATTTCCTATAAAGGACGCACAACCGCCTCACTTACAGTCGCAATTCTTAAAGGGCCAGTGTACAATTTTACATATAACATATTTCAATGTAAATATAGAGAATATTTATCTAATTAGTACACACAAAGAAAGAAAGTTACAATCAAAACACAAATATTCAAATACTGAAATGCAACAAATAATATGCAATAATTGTCACTGAACAAAAGCAAAATTAGGCTCCTACACAATACATACAAACGTTCCTGACATCTTACGTGTAATTGATACACTTCTGTTGAATATTTACTTTATAGAAATGGTTTTGTGTCTTCGAAAAAGTCCGTTAGCATCTCAACCGTTTTCAGAAGAGCTAAGTTAAGTTTACGTTACAATTGAGCTCTTGTTTTACATAAGTTTGGGTTTTTAACCACATTTTTGTGTTGATAACAGTTTTTGATAGTTTTGTTTTGCTGGTAATGTAGTACCCTCACCGCCTGATGAGGGGAGATATATGTATAAATTAATACAGGACACGGAGCTGCTGCTGCTTCACTTATCAGAGTCTGTATTGTTTTTTATACAATGTAAAACAGTTCAATCACTCTTATGTCAATCAATGACAGTGCATCACTTCAAGAGTAGGCTAATCACAATATATAACAGAATTACATATACAGTACCGGAGTTTCTCTTTTACTACTGTGTCCACAGATTAAGCATAGGTACTATGAAATATTCACTGATAACATATATAACATTTTACACGTGAATAAATCCTAAAAATGTGTTCATGTTTGCCAGAATTATTCTTCCTGATACATTTTTAGTACAGACACTCATTTTCAAAGTCATTTGGCACTTACAACTTACTCAATGCATTATTTCACCAAGACATATCTTATCTGTGGACTTACTCTAATATTGCGCCTTCTCTCTGAGACCGCATGGTCTCCATCACTAGCATGAAATTTATAACTAGCACGCGTGACGCACACAGACGTGACTTGCAGCGAACTTTTACATGTTCGTAATAACAGTAAACTTAAACACTTTAAACAATGTAATTAACATTTCTTAAACTCTTACATGTCAAAAAAACATACTCTCATTGCTTTTATGTAATTCATACCTGATGAGGGGAGATATATATGTATAAATTAATACAGGACACGGAGCTGCTGCTGCTTCACTTATCAGAGTCTGTATTGTTTGAGCAGCGCGCGTGAGCCCCCTCCCTCAAGCAGGCGAACACTCCCAAAAGGTAAAAGCAATCAAATAATCGAACGATTGAGCAGGGAACATTAATCGTCAAAGAAATAATCACAAATAAAACATGTATTAGAAATACATTCTCTTGTCGTCACATCTTACATATCATATATTTATTTACTACTATTTATCTACTTATTTATTTACAATTACTTATCTACTTTTGTAACCACCACAGTAATTTGTCAATGGGTGATTGGAAGTAAGCAAATTTATTTAACCTGAAAGAATTCACTGTAACGTACTGTTAATGACGTCACTTACAAAGATTGATAATAAAAGTGATTTCAGGAGGGACAGAAAAAAAACCTCGACAACAAAGGGGGAATTATTGTTTAATCATGATAATAATTTCATATGCATTTATTGCACAATATATTACCTTAAGGTGTTTTATATATATTCTTTATCTTTTCTGCATTTCATCTCTGCTCTAGCTTGCTTCCTTGTAATAAACCCTTTGTTCTATTGTAAATTCTATGTAACATTGTTGGCTCTGTGACACATTGCATGTTATTTTCTAGAAGATCTGTCTAGAAAATTTCTAGAAAATTCTAGAAGATTTTCTAGAAGATCTGCTGATGGCACCCCCTGTCCAAGACAATCTCCACGGCTATGAACTCGACTAGTACCGGTAAGCAAAACCTCAAACATACTGTTCAATAGTTGTGGGTCTGTAGGATTTATGCTTTTGAATGAAGTCTCACACTTTAAATTCATTAACCCCAGTTTTTTTAAGTGACATTGTCCTTGAGAAGCCTGTAGGCTAAATAATCAGCTAAATAATAGGCGGCAAATATAATGTTATAATGGTCATAGTTATAATAATTCATTTAACTATTATGATAACAGGATATCATGGTCATTGGTGTATATATATATTTTCTCTAGGTGTGTTTTTAATTAAGTTGGCCAATGAGACAGACACCATACTGTCCAACTCAAAGGTATTTTTTATGTATTTTTTACTGATAAATACTGAAATTCTTTTTACTTTCAAATGCTGAATTCAGGGGGTCGACAACTTTAGGCACGCAAGTTATTTTTCACAGCCTTTAAAATGTTTGAATGTATATCCATCCACAATACAATATCAGGGGGTAAAGATATCATTAGAGTTTTTAAAGTTATGGCTATGCTCTTGTTACCAGATGAGATATAATCGTTTGGCCCTGTGATTCTTCAGGACAAGATCTTGATGCCATCCACACTCAGTACATGACGAAGGTGAGTTTCACAATAGCTGCCACTATCACAAATCAAGAGACAGAACACAACAGCAGGCCTTCATCCATATGAACTCACCCATACGTAGGGATAGGTTCCGAAACCCGGTATTAAACATTAAACGGGCCCTGGGGCCAAATTAAGGAAGACCGCAGTATCGATAAGCTCAGATGTTATCGATTCTGCTGACGGTACTGAAGAAATTACACACACTATGTATTATAGACATTGTCTTGCAAATTCTGTGAGGATTAGGAGGGGTGTTATAAACAGTCTTCATACAACGTGTTTTTCAGGCTGGTTGTTTGTAATTTTGTAAGAGTAGGGAGAGGCTGTACCTCAGTGAAGACTTATTTTACATTCGATAATTTAATTTCCGTACCTGATAAGTTAGATTTTCCTAAAAAAAACATCATGCACTGCTTATTTCAATTGTATTTTTCTTCTATTGAATTTATCCATGCTTGTAATTTGTTTATAATTTTCAATGCAGATTCACTCCTCTAAATAAATAATCTCTTGAAATTTGTTTTTATATTGCAATATATATAGCAGCAGATAAACAAAATATTTTATTTAAGGTTTTCAATATTGTGCAGCCCTAATATTGAGCATTTAACCTAAACCTAATTTTAAATTGAACCTGGAATGATAATTTGTGATACCAGATGAGATGTATGTATGATAGATTTTGAACTGTACTATGTTTGTATTGCAGGTTTTCTGCGATCCACAGCGGAAGGCATCAAGGCGTGAGATGTTGGCCTGGACTCACACAGACCTCTGCTTTTGCATGGATGGCTGATTACCATGTTCTGTATAGGTTTTATTACAGCAAAACTGAGCACCTGTGACAGTGGAATCTGTAGGTGTAAAGTAGTCAGACATCGGTACATTTAAAGTCACAGAGAGAAAGTTTTTTTTTATTTTTTTTATAATTAATTAGAAGTTTCAAACTTTTTTCTCTTTCACAAAAAACACTGCAGTTACAGCTTTTCAGATTCTTCATTGGAGGTGCACAAATACTTTTCTTTTTTTCAAATCACAAAGTAAGAAATGTATGCTCACATTTAAGGCGCGGTCACACAGGGGGTTTGAGCATATGTGACTGTGAATAAAAAGTGAAGTGTGACCACATGAGAATAGCCAAACAGTATAGATGACTCACAAAATTATACACCAAGAAATGTGCATAATTGGCCAAAATGTTACTGTTTATCAACAAAAATATGACCCTGTGAGTTTAGTAATTTGTAGAATAGGATTTGTGCACCTGCAATGAAGAATTTAAAAAGGTGTAACTGATGCGTTGTGTTTGTGAGAGATAAAGGAAAGAAAAAGAGGTTTGCAACTCATAAAACATTTTCTCGAAGACTTAAAATCTACAAATTGTACTGTTGTAGGTACTCTGTTTTGCTTCAATAATAGATATAATACAGTGTCAATCTTATTAACTACTATTTATTTTGTATAAAATCATACAGTACCGGTGTCACAGAGACATCCAGAGTTCTTCAAAATAACACATGGAGGACGTTGAATGCCATTTTTATATTTATTTACGTTCTCCCAAGCCAGTAAAGTGCAAGGTGCTCACAGGTGCCACAGCATGAAAAATTAACAAAAGAAAAGAAAAAAAACAACAACTTCAATATACTAAAAACAATAACCTTGCATCAGGTCTAATACTTCAATCAGAGTACTCAGTTGATACACCTGTCTCAACAGCAAGGACATAAAATTAGTACCCTGATCTGTTAAGATTTCGCAAGGAATCCCCACTCTGGAAAACAGCTGCACAAGACAGTTCGCTACTTGTCTAGCTTTGATGTTTCTAAGGGGAAAAGCTTCTGGGTATTTGGTGGAATAATCACAGATTACTAGAATATACCGATTTCCATTCTTACTTCTTTCCAGGGGCCCCACTATATCCATTCCCAGACGACTAAAGGGTGTGTCAATGACCGGCAATGGTAACAAATGTGCAGGTGCAACTCTCCTTCCTGATGTCATTTGACACTCTGTACAAGTACGAATAAACTCTGTTATATCCGTATACATTTTGGGCCAACTGAACCGACTTGAAACCCTTGCTAACGTCTTCTGCTTGCCTAAGTGTCCTGACCACGGAACAGAGTGCCCCAAAGACATAACCGTCTGACGCATTGATTCCGGAACTACCAAGGCTTCAACCTCCCCTTTCACCTGATAGAGTATCCCTTTTTTAACAATGTACTCTTCATCCACCAAACACGATCCAACATTTTTTCTAACACCCTCTACTACCGACACCTTCTGGAACCAGTCTTGCAAAGTAGGATCATTTTTCTGTTCTTCAGCTATGTCCTCAGGGATTGTCATATCAAGAGGGCATTCTGGCAAAGGTAGCTCCTCAACCTGCTCTTTCACACTACCCTCAAACTTCCGTTTCCGCCTTTCCTTTTTAGATCTATGTCTTTTCTCCACGGCTACCTCAAAGTCAACACCAGCAAAAGGCATCTCCTTGAAGTCGGCTATAGCACTCTGGGCTCGAGTTACCGCATAACAAGGCTGAACTTTGGGCACCAAATCACAAAGAATGGGAAGATCTCGCCCTAGTACTACTTCATGCGGTAACTGGGACGCAACGGCCACCTGCAACAAAAACGTCTGCCCCTGCACTGTTAGGTAAATCTCTGCAATCGGATACTCCCTAACTTCTCCATGCACACAGCAAACTTTAATGTATTCTTGGGTAATGTATTCATCTTCAGAAACCAGGCTGTCATGCACTAATGTCTGAGTGCTACCCGTATCCACTAAGGCCTTAGCCGACTGACCATTCACAAGTACCGGCGTCAATATGTCTGTGGGGCTTGTCTGTCCAGACTCATGGGCTGAAGTTTGGGGCAGGTAGGGGCGGGGAACATAACAGAAAGCAGAATGCTTAACCTTCCTGGATGGACAACAGGGCTTGGTATGTCCTACCTCCCCACAATAGTAACATCTAACTTCCTGCTTGTTTGTTTTATCCCCTTGTTTTCTAACAAAACCCACTTTACCTTGGCCATGACCACCCTCACCCCCAGACTTACTTGGCCATCTTTGACTTCGACCTCCAAAGCTGTGCTGGGCCTCCTGGCGTGCGGCCAGGTATGTCTCTGCAAGTTTTGCTGCTTCTTCTGCTGTGGCTGGATCATGCTCCTTAATCCACACTGCCATGTCAGAGCTTATCATTCGCATAAATTGCTCCAAGATAATAAGTTCGGACAACTGCTGAATAGTACACAACTCTGGCTTCACCCATTTTGAGAAGAGATCTTTCAATCGCACATAAAGCTCACGGGGGTTCTCGTCTGGCAGAATCTCTGATGAGCGAAACCTTTGCCGGTAGATCTCTGCATTAATCTGATATTTCATAAGTATCGCCTCCTTAACCTTATCATAGACCTCAGCATCATTCCCATCCATGGCTACATAGGCACCCCGTGCCTTTCCCGTTAACAGAGGAACCAGTCTGATTGCCCAATTGGCCTGAGGCCATCTGCACGCAGTGGCCATCCTTTCAAATGTTGTCAAAAACTGCTCGATGTCATCATCTCTTGTCAAGGGATGTAATCTTGGCTCGATGTTTCCTCGATGACGTACCTTCTCCGGTTGGCCCTGGGCTTGCAGCTGTAAACGCGGCCTGACTTTCTCTGTGGTCCCCTCCAGCCTGGATCTGGATCACCTGATGCTGTATTTGCTGGAATTGGTGCTGCATATTCCGCCAACGCTGGTCTTGCTTCACCATTACTTGCTCCATCCGATCATCCCGGGCGGCTTGGGACTGCAGGAGAACTTTAACCAGGCCAGCCAGTTCTGAGACACTTCCCTCTGTCGGGCCCGCTGGTTCTTGCAACTCCGTAGAGCTGGGCGGCTCCTGATCCATTCCCAACTGCTCATCTGCGCCCGCACCTCGGTCTTGTCTGGTCTTGGGTGGCATAACGATCCCACTTCTGACACCACTTGTCACAGAGACATCCAGAGTTCTTCAAAATAACACATGGAGGACGTTGAATGCCATTTTTATATTTATTTACGTTCTCCCAAGCCAGTAAAGTGCAAGGTGCTCACAGGTGCCACAGCATGAAAAATTAACAAAAGAAAAAAAACAACAACTTCAATATACTAAAAACAATAACCTTGCATCAGGTCTATACTAAAAACAATAACCTTGCATCAGGTCTAATACTTCAATCAGAGTACTCAGTTGATACAGCATTCACTACCACCAGTCTTAACTCTCCTGATCACTTCATTATGTGAGAATTTATACCCCTGGGTACAACCATTACTCAGCAATAAATCACATGGGGAAGTAATAAAGACCATGAACAAGTAATAAATATCAAGTAAAAATATTAGGTGATCAAGTAACTCCATTTACTTCACCACACAAATTTAAATAACAGTACAAACTTCAATAAGTAAACTTCAGCAATAATTAGAGAAAGTACACATTAACTTCAACCAATTCCCCTTCCTTTCCCACCATACTTGGTATCTCCCATTTCCCATAATGCAACACAGCACAGGTATAAAAAGCATGAGGAAAGTCCATTCCAGTCTTTTACCCAAATCAAGATGGCCACCACCCTGTATGCTGATCCCGGTGACAATCAACAGTCTGTAGCAAACTTTAAATGTCCTCTGGGTGAGTGCTCAGATGGCCAGTCTGAGACACAACAGTATAGTTGTAGATATATTTGGGTGGTTAATCCATCTCTCATGTCGCTGGTACACTAAGGTAAATAAAGAGTCTTTTAAAAACCAAGTTTGTGTTCATGTGTTTTGTGGAAGGGCTAACAAGGGGTCACAAAGAACTGAGGGTAGCTCTGTGACAACCGGTCAAAAGTTTGAAAACATTACTATTTTTTGGAAGAAGTCTATTCTGCTCATCAAGCTTGCATTTATTTGAAAAAAAAAAGTAAGTACCCTGAGTTAGGTACGAGTGTCCCTCCGAGGTCACAAGACTGTGTGTCTAGGCGCCAACATGTCGAAGAAAACAAGTCAGTCAGTCGCCAATAACGCCACTTGTTCCTTGACCAGTAACCAAGAATACTAACACACACAGCTTCTTCAAGGTTGGATTTGGTCGGGCTCTAACTATAAACAGGAGACTCTTCCCAAAACATCCAGATAACATGTCATTTCTCTCAGTGAGAGTACACTTTAAAATAGACCAGTAAAGTAAATGCTTTAACTAAGAAATGGTCACAAACTATTGGTTCCAATGACCCTTGTGACCTATAGCTGTCATGGTGAGCTAGAAGAACAGATATATATTAACACGTTGAAGACCTTTCTCAAAGAAAACGAGTCCATACTTAATCTCTGGAATCCGGGCTGTTACTGCATTCCTGCATGGGCCAGACCCTCAGTCACCTCTCAGATATCAAATACAGACATAGAGAATACATCAAAGAACATTTCAGCAATCACACTAGTAACTTCTTTAACTAAGAAAAATCTCATAAGCTTGGAGAAGTCATCCAACTCATTTGATATTTAGAAGGAACAATATTGATTAATACCTTGATTATAATCACTCATTAGTTATACATTGAAGCAGCAGTGGATTCCAGAATCCACTTCCTTCACACTTACTGTATATCAAAAGGTTAAAAAAAAATTGTGGCAGTCCCGCTCCGCTCCGCTCCGCCCCCCACCCCAACCCATTCTTCTTGCAGCTAGTGGTTGCGTGCTGATTTTAATTTTATTTTACATTGCAGAATGAAACGTTGCGAAATG